CTAGATAGATAGATAGATAGATAGATAGATAGATAGATAGATAGATATAGATAGATAGATAGAAATGTTAAACATAAAAATTCAATGTTTATATAAACAGTGTTGTCTGAGTACAGTTGGTTTTAAGAAGTAGTGATAATAATAATAATAATAATAATAATAATAATAATAATCACATAATAATAACAATAGTATTTGCTTATCCATTGCCATTTTAACTTTTTAAAGTGCATACTCTACACCCCTATAGATTGCTTACTGGGGCATCTGCATGATAAGAAAGGCTTGAAATAAATCCCCCGCATTTAGAAAACTGGCACGTTAAGGCAAAGCTCAGCTGGCATCCTGAGCTGCTACATCTCTAAAGTTGGGGGTTTTCAGAAAATGGATCCAAGCAGCGTTCTGCCAGTTCAGTTATAAAATGGACGTGACACCCCAGACACAAAGTTATCTTATTTCTTTGAGGGTTCCCCTGCTCGTAGTGTAGGGAGTCCTCGTTTAGTGACCGTTTGAAGTTACAACGGCACTGAAAGAAAGTTGACTAAGGACCATTGTTCACACGACAGTTGCAGCATCCCCGTCACCACCCAAGCCCAGCCTGGATCAATCAATCAATCAATCAAGCCTCACCTCTTTCCTCCTCGCTGGTTGTGGGCAATTGGCTTGGGGGTCCTGACTCTCTCGTGGGAACCCCAGGCTCTTCCAGGGACCCCCACAGCACGCCCACTCGGCGTTGCCGAAAACGCTGTCTTGGGGTGTCCTGGCCCTCTTCGTCCCCGGACCCCGAAGTTTCCGCCACCGGCATCCGAGAACTCAGACGGCAACGGCGGAAGTGGACTGGCGGGCTCTCCGGGAGGCTGGCGTGGCTGCTTGCTTTGCGGAGAAGAGACAGTGAGCTGGGCGTGTGGGGAACTTTTGGGGGAAATCAAGAACAATTTGACACGGCCTCTTCTCTCTATTAATATCTATCTTTTCTCTATTTATATCTATCTTCTCGCTATATCTATCTCTCTTTTCTCTATATCTATCTATCTCTTCTTTAGATCTATCCTCTATTTCTTCTCCTTCTATTTATATATCTATCTCTTCTCTCTATTAATATCTATCTTTTCTCTATTTATATCTTCTCTCTATATGTATATCTATCTCTTTCTCTTCTCTCTATATCTATCTATCTATCTATCTATCTCTTCTTTAGATCTATCATCTATCTCTTCTCTTTCTATTTATATATCTATCTCTTTTCTCTATATCTATCTCCTCTCTTTATATATCTATCTCTCCTCTCTATTTATAACTTCTCTCTATATCTTCTCTGTATCTATCTATCTTTCTCTTCTCTCTATTTATATCTCTATATCTATCTATCTCTTCTCTTTATATCTATCTCTTCTTATTTATATCTATTTATCTCTTCTCTCTATATCTACCTATGTATCTATCCTCTCTATTTATATATCTCTGTCTGTCTGCCAGTCTGCCTGTCTGTATAAAGTTAACACGGTGCTGAAAAAAGTGACTTACGGCCGTTCTTTTCACCCTTCCGATCTGTCCGGACCTCACCTCTACTATCGGGCCCATGTTCCTCGGGCCCTGCCAGGCTCTCGCTGCTGCTGCTGCCGGCTCCCTCTGCCATGGGACGCGGCTGCTCCCGTCGGAGTTTCATCAGTCTCCTAATCTTACCAGCAATCCAGTTACTCTTCCTAGCCCACGAGGGTAAGAGGAGACAGGGACAAATTATATATTTATATATATATATATAC